TCCTCCTCCTCCTCCTCCTCCTCCTCCTCCTCCTCCTCCTCCCCCTCCTCCGTGGTTGGTTGGTCAGTATGGTTGATCTGGTTGATTGGTCTTGTTGGTCGAGTAATTCATCTGGTCGGTCTTGTTGGTCTGGTCTGGTACGTCCGACTGGTCTGGTTAGTCTGATTGGTCTTTCTAGCATGGTGAATATGATAGTCTGGTTTGGTTGGCCTTGTCGGTCTAGTTCGTCTGGCTGATCCGCTCGGCGTGCTTGGTTTAGGGTGGCTGCTCTGATATCTGGTTGGCCTGGTTGGCTGGTCTGCTTGGTATGGCGTGGTTGGCCTACGTGGTCAGATTGGTCTGGCTAGTTTGTTCGACAGGGTTCGTTCGGACCCGATCTGGGTTAATTGGTCCCATCGGTTTGGTCGCGCAGGTTCCTTCTGTTGTCTGGCTCGTTCGGTCGTTTGGTTTGTTTGGCTCGCTGGGTTGGCCTTTGTTGGTTAGTCTGAGTTGGTTGGCATGGCCCAGTCTGGTCCGATTGGTCGAGTATCTCGACTGGTTGGTCTGGTCTGGTCTGGTTGGTCTGGTCTTTCTGCTCGGTTTGTCTTCGTTGCTTGGTATATTGGATACTATACCTGGTCTGCCTGCTGCGCAGGACATCGACGAGGACGAGCAGCAGCAGCCGATGCAGCAGTAGCGTTGAAATCATGACCAGCATCAGCGCGCGGAGGAGGAATCCCAGGAAGAGCGGAGTGAAAAGAGGGAGGAGAACACCTGCATCAGCAGCCATACCACTTCTCATGCGCTAAGCAAAATTCAACGCTGGGGCCTCACAAGTTTTCCAGCGAATCCGGGCATCTCGGTCGAAGCTTGAGGGGCCCTCCGTGCAGGGAAGTATCATGTCACCCCCTAATCGTTGCACTGGCCTTGGCGCAACGATCAAACACTGCATACACAATGGTTCGTGTCAGAGGTCCGTGCGGATTTCTCAGATCGGAGCTGGACACCCCCGGCGGCGTATCCGGCGTCGCCCCTGGCGCGCGCTCTGCGCTCCGCGCGCGCGCAACGGGGAGGGATCCAGCGCCGAACTGCGAAGTCCGCGTGGGCCTGCGAGTGCATGATTTTGGAATGCGCAGTCAAACATACGATTCAGAAAATTATAAATTAAGAAAGCTGTGCCAGCTTTTCAAAAGTTTCTTAAGGAAAACCTAGGCCAGCTTTAGGAGCCGAACTGGCACGAACCGGAACTGGAGCGCTATCATCCCCTTAAGAAACTGAGACACCTTTCTGGCAAGTTGGTCAAGAAACGCTGGGCCAGCTTTTCGGGGGAAGGTTTCTTAATCATAAGCGGGACCGTAGTTCCATAAGACCCATGCCGTAAGAACATCCCTCGAGCTCAAGAACATGAGACCCTCCGCCGGCCAAAACAAACAGGACATCCAAGGGTGCCCTCCCCAGGATGCACAGGAACATCCAACAGGCACGAAGAACATCAGGGTACCCTCCCCGAACCGACCTCGATCTCATACCTCGGTCCGACTGTAGGCTTCTTCTAGCAGCCCTGGCCCCCGGTGGCCCCAGCTTTTCCGGGGCCCCAGGGGCTCCGAAGCGGCTCGGAAAGCCGGGGGCACCGCGGGCCAGGACCACCTCTGGCAACCCCCGAGAAGGTCACGGGGTGCAGGTGCCAGGGCAGAAAGATCACCGCGCGGAAGGACGAGAACTCCTCTGGAGGGCGACGAGGTCTGCACACGCACACCGCCCCTGTGGCCAGGCCAGGCCCATCCAGGGCCCGGGACCCGTGAATATATGCCTCAAGGGCTTGGGAAGGGAGGGCGTACACACCGACACTGGACCCAGGACGGGCCTGGCCAGGGGCGGCGGACCTGGAGGGTTTCTCCGAAGGGCTTAGGCGACCCGCCCTCCTCCTCCTCTTCCTCCTCCTCCTCCTCCTCCTCCTCCTCTTGCCCCTCCTCCTCCCTCTCCCCCTCCTCCACCTCCTCCTCCCCTCCTCCTCCTCCTCCTCCTCCTCCTCCTCCTCCTCCTCCTCCTCCTCATCCTCATCCTCGGGTCGCCTACGGCCCCGGGGGAAACCGTGCAGGGCAGTGTACTTGTCTAGATCTCGCCGCCCGGTCCTCGTACCTGAGGTGCCTGTCGGGACCCACGAACACGAACTCGTCTCGGTCGCTGGCTGCCCCGAGCTCCTTTGAGTATAGCTGGAAGAGCTGGCCGAAAAAGCTGGAACGCGTGTCCATATCCGCCACCGAGTTTGCAATCCGGCAGGTCAACGTCATGGGTTGCATCTTCAAACCAATGAAAATACCCCCCACCCCTACGAAACGGGCGTCGAGAGGCGCTCATTTCAACCAAAGTAACTATCCTTCACGGTGCCGTAGGCACCGAGGCATCGTGTCCTCGGGTCCCGCAGGGTCTTCAAACTCAGACGTCGGAAAATCTCTTTCGGGGCCCCTTGGCCCCCACCTCAAGGATCTCACGGCCGCTTCTGGTCACTTCGGGGGTGGCCCGCTCAGCTCTTTATCGAGGCTTCGGGTGTGCGGTTGGGGATCAACACTTCCAGCATGTCCCAAGATGATACCAGGGGGCCTCCCCAAGGGAGCTCACGAGGCCTCAAAGGGCTTCTGGTCCACGACTCAGGCACAGCGACGGGGCGGGCCGCAGACCAGTCCTTCCGCCGCCCCCTGGGCGCGCCACAGGTTTTACTGATGTGCCAGATGTTGCGTTGGTCGGAGGTCCTCGGCCCAACCCGCTGGTCACCAAGAAGACCGCGTCGCGACCACAAACGCTTCTCACGCCCAGGAAACCCGCCTCCAAGATGGCCACGATGGCGCAAGATGGTTCCAAAGACGGCGTCCAAGACGGTGTCAGCTGGCCTCCTAGATGGCGCAAGACGGCCCTAAGACGCCCCAAGATGGCTCCCAGCCTGCACAGCACCGCCTCAAGACAGCCCCAGAGACTTCAAAGATACCCCAAGAGATCTCCACGAGCACCTGAAGAAGACCCGGAAACGACAAGCCAAGGACTTGCCCTCCACAAGTATTGAAGAATGGTCGCGGAGTCGCCTTCCCAGGATGCTGATTTTACACGACGGCTGGATGGGCCTCGAAGATGGCCCCCAGTCGGCTCAAGAAGCCCCCAGGACGGCTCCATGCCGTCCGAAGATTGCCCCCAGACAGCACAGCACCGCCTCAAGACAGCCCAAGCGAGCCCCAAGATGCACCATGAGATCTCCAAGAGGACCTCCAAGGGACCGGTACCGAAAACGATAAAACCATGAATCGTCTTCATTTAATGAAAAACTTTCACGTTGTCGCCTTTTCTCGGCCCTGACATCCCACGACGGCCCAATGGTCCTCCAAGGTGGCCCCCAAGCGGCTCCAGAGGCTCCCAAAAGGGTCCTAAAGACTGCCCCCAAGACGGCCCCCAGAGAGCCCAAGAGGGCCCCAAGACGGCCCAAGAGATACTTACCCAAGACGGCGCTAGAAGGCCCAAAGAGGACCCCGAGACGGCCCAGGGGCCGCTTGGGGCCTATTGGGGGCCTCCTGGGGCTTTCTCGGACCATCTTGGGGCAATCCAGAGCCGTCTTAGAATGCCGAGTCTTAAGACAAATTCTGGGTGATCATTGGCCGGCCGCGCCACGACAACAAAATCAAGAAAACCCGCATCCAAGATGGATACGGCCCAAGATGGCTTCCAAGACGGCTCAGAACGGCCAAAGATGGCCTCCAAGACACTCCCACGACAGCCAAAATCGGCTTAATGTGGTCCAAGATACTACATGCGGCTATAGCGGAAGTGCTGTCCAGTCCACCCATCGAACGTAGTACCACTTTTCTCCACATGCTCAACTGACGCTTCCTCCTCTTGCTCGTCTTCATGTCGCCACTCGCATACATGTGACTCGCATACGCAAGCACACGCGTGGCACGTAACCCCTCCAGCTTCTGGGGCACACGAAACTCACGAGGCTGCATGCCTCACTAAGACTCCCTGATACGACGCGCGCCTTGATAGAAACAAGCCAGCTGTACATCGCGACGGTCATGCAGCAAAGATGCGGACCCGTGCTGCTATCCCCGAGCGTGGTGACAGCTATGCGCGGTGGCGCATCTGTATATGCTCTTCCGAAGAAGAGGATCCCAGCAGCGGTATCCTGATTGTAGGTGCCAGCGATGTCCAGCATTGCCCTGTTCGTGTGGTAGACCAGCGAAGGTAAGTGCCCTATCTGATAGTACGTCTGCAGCTGGAGCTTCTCGTTTGTGGCGAACATAACTCCCCTGCTACGCTCCCCCCGGAAAAACAGCTCGGTGAGGAGCTGCTGCAAGTACGACATCTCTGGCTCGCCCGCCTTGTGCAGCGTGATAAACCGGGGATGCGCTGAACCGGGGTCAGCGCTAACCTAGGTCAACAAGGGACACGTCGGGAAGCCAGATCGGCCACGAATGAGCTCCCAAATCCATGTCAACGGAATACGGGGAGGGAGATCGGCCTCACGTGGCTTCCGAACCGGGGCCAGCCAGAGGAGATCGGAGAGGATTAGCTTGCACCTGTTAGCGCTAAACCCTGCCTCGACGCCCCGGAATGGAGTCCGACGCGAAATGCAGCATCGAGGCTTCCGGGTACGCGTGAGCCTAGAAAAAAACAAAACATGCGCAACCAGAAAGTTTCGGATGTCCGCGCGAGTCTACTGGATCGGGGCTGGGCCCACCTCCATGGCACACGAAGCGCGCCGGGGGTTCGCAGGAGGCGCCGCCTGGGGATCGGGGGCCTGGCGCAGAGCCAAGACCTCTGCGCGGACCTCCGAAAACTTATTTTCACCCACCAACAACCACAGCGCAACTATATACAGTGCCATCCTGTGAAGCAACAAAGTGAGACGGCAGATTGCCAGACAAACCAGGAGCGCAACGTGCAGCGACCTGCGATAGGCAAGCACACGTAGTGAACTTTCGCATGGAGGGCAAAACAGCAGCACAGCAACACCAACATCGGAGTGAGGGGGTCGAACGGTCATACACAACCCTTGATTGCGTAGGTAAAAGTGGGATGACGTGGCCCGGATTATGTGTTTGTTATTGTTGCCATCGTCCTCGCCCGCGACCCGCCCTCGACCCACACGCGACCCGCCCGCGACCCACCCGCGACACATCCGCGACCCACCCGCGACCCGCCCGCGACACACCCGCGATCCAAGCGCGGCCCGCCCACCATGCTTTTACAGAAATTTGGCGCCTGCAGCGGGCTCGTTGTGTGATGTGTGCAAGATCGGCGCCTGCGGCGGGCCTCCTCCGAGCCTCGCAGACTGCCGACGACCCCGCCGCCCGCTCACTCGTTTCCGCAGCTGCGGGGACGAGGGGACTAAATAACAGAAGGTATGGCCAATCCCCGATGTTGTTGGGTTTCCAAGTGGGCCAGAAACTTGAGGCCACATGGGGATCTACGACGGGGGGCCGTCCATCCTTGATGCGATGCGTCCGAATAGCCTCCCAGGGGTATAGATCCCAGAGTTCCCCCCTACTTGCTTTTTCGAGCGGAATGTGGGGATTGGTGGGCCGCTGGCGACAAAAATCTCAACTGCGAACGATTACACAGATGTTTTTCCTCCTCCTCCTCCTCCTCCTCCTGCTCCTCCTCCTCCTCCTTCTCCTCCTCCTCCTCCTCCTCCTGCTCCTCCTCCTCCTCCTTCTCCTCCTCCTCCTCCTCCTATCTGCTCTTCTCCTCCCTCCCTCCTCCTCCTCCTCCTCCTCCTCCTCCTCCTCCTACCTCCTCCGCTCCTCCTCCTCCACCTCCTCCTCCTCTCCTACTCCTCCTCCTGCTCCTCCTCCTCCTGCTCCTCCTCCTCCTGCTCCTCCTCCTCCTCCTCCTCCTCCTCCTCCTCCTCCTCCTCCTCCTCCTCCTCCTCCTCCTCCTCCTCATGATGATCCCGACACCCGTAGGGCTTTGGAACAGGAGGATTCACGTGGCTCTCGGTGGCCCCTTGGTGGCTTCGTGGAGTTGTGGAATCGGTGGCTTCACGCCTGTGGCCCGCTCGGGCAGCGGATCGCCTCTCGTGCGACGACCGCCTCATGCCTCTCCAAGGGAGGCGGGCCCCGCCGTGGCCGCAGGGGGGCCCCCGTGGGCCAGAGGAGGGGGGACTGGAACGTCCGGCTGCCTCGGCCCTCGGGCTCTGCAGGGTGCCGTGCGGATGTGCCGTGCGCGTGCGTGGTGCCGCCTGGACGCCTGGGCGGGGCAGGAAACACTGGGCTCGCCTCGCGGGTGGCTGGCCGAGCGTACCAGCCCGCGCGTGCGCGCGGGAGTGGCCGGAAGAGGCCTCTATGGCAGCGAGCATGGCCGAGCGCAGGAAAGAATGTGCAGCCCCTGCCGTCATCATCGCGGTGTTGCGCTGTCGTGGCATCATCCCTGCTGCGCCGCCGTCGTTGCACATGCCATCCCCAGCTTCCAGCTCAAGATGTTGCGGCTTGTCGGTAAGCGCAAGGGCCCCGAACTCGCCCGCAAGGGCGCAGCCGCTGCGCTTCCTGCGCCGGCGGGGCCGCCGTCCGGCTCAGGGGCGCCGGAGGAGGCAGCTGCTTTGAAACATTGGCTTGAACGGCTGCTCCCGAGCGAGACGTTCGGGCCCGGTACAGCCGAGCGCCTGGCCGGTGAACTCTGGGTTTTGGGCGCGAGAGGCCCCGTGGACTTCGAGCACCTGTCCGTCGGGGAGCTCGGGGAAGTGTGGCCGCCGCTTTCAGAAGCAGAGACTCGCAGCCGCATTGTTCAGGGCGTTCGCCTACCGCTGCGGTGCCGGGCGGAGCCAACGCAACCTGCCAGCCTTCCCCCCCCAGCCGCAACCGCGAACCCAGCAGCAGCTCCAGGTGCCCGAGGACGGTGATTTGGCCGCTGCGCAGGCAGCAATGCGGGTGCTGCAGCGGGCCCGCGTGGCGAGAAGCGCGCTGCCGCCAGAGGCTCTGGCAGTGGCGGTGGCCGCGCTGGGCAAAGTGACTCTTCAGTGCGTGGCCGCGCAGTGGCGGCCCGAGGCTGGCCACAGCGCTCCGAGAGCCCGGGCTGGCGCTGTGCGGCCGCTGGGCGCGCAGGAGCCAGTCGTGAAGGAACTGATCGTCTGGGAGTTGCGGAGCTGGCACGAGAGCGCGGTGAAGGCACGCGAGCCCAGTGCGCCCGTGGGGCAAGGTGTGTTCCAGCCTGGGAGGGTCGCGCCGTGGGCTTCGCGCGACTCTGGCCCGGGCGCGCTGGCGATAGCGGTGCAGCCTGGCCACACCCTTGTCGGGTACGCCTCCCAGCTCCGGTCAGTCCTCCGCCTGGTGCGCGCGCCGCTCGGCGCGCTCGCGGACACCGCCGAGCTGGGCCGGGGCGCTCTCACGGCGCCGCGGCTGGAGAGGTTCAAAAGCCGGGAGCGCCTGCTAAAGCAGACGCGAGATCTCAGCCGCCACCTGCGGGCGAACCTCGGTGAGTCAGAGGCCGCCGACGCTTCTGTCGCTGCCCGGAAGCACTTTTGCTTGAGGTTCGGATCAGAGGTAGTTCCTCTGGAAGCGACCGGCGGGCACTCCGCGGTCCAATTCTCCAAAGGAGACAGCAAGGGCCGGGCGCGCATGTTTCTACTCCAGCAGAAGATGTGTAACTCCGCAGCTGAGGCTATGAGGCACTGTATCTGCGACTTGCAGACTGCGGAGCTGTGCGGGGCGTGCACGTTGCGGAGACGCGTGGCCGCAGGGCGGATCTGTCCAGGTCTCACGTGTTCAGAGTCCCTCGCAGTCTCAGAGACTGCGGCGCTGGGTGTAGGGCTTCCACGGGCCAGCTCATCCTCCTCCTCCTCTTCCTCCTCCTCCTCCTCCTCCTCCTCCTCCTCCTCCTCCTCCTCCTCCTGCTCCTACTCCCCCTCCTCCTCCTCTACCTCCTCCTCCTCCTCCTCCTCCTCCTCCTCCTCCTCCTCCTCCTCCTCGTCCTCCTCCTCCTCCTCCTCCTCCTCCTCCTCCCTCCTCCTCTCCTCCTCCTCCTCCTCCTCCTCCTCCTCCTCCTCCTCCTCCCCTCCTCCTCCTCCTCCCTCCTCCTCCTCCTCCTCCTCCTCCTCCTCCTCCTCCTCCCTCCTCCTCCTCCCTCCTCCTCCTCCTCCTCCTCCTCCTCCCTCCTCCCCTCCTGCCCCCCCCTCCTGCTCCTACTCCCCCCTGCTCCCTCCCCCTCCCCCTCCTGCCCTACTTCCTCTCCTCCTCCTCCTCCTCCTCCTCCTCCTCCTCCTCCTCCTCCTCCTCCTCCTCCTCCTCCCTCCTCCCTCCTCCCTCCTCCTCCTCCTCCTCCTCCCCTCCTCCTCCTCCTCCTCCACCTCCTCCTCCTCCTCCTCCTCCTCCTCCTCCTCCTCCTCCTCCTCTCCTCCGCTCCTCCTCCTCCTCCTCCTCCTCCTCCTCCTCCTCCTCCTCCTCCTCCTCCTCCTCCTCCTCCTCCTCCTCCTCCTCCTCCTCCTCCTCCTCCTCCTCCTCCTCCTCCTCCCTCCTCCTCCTCCTCTCTCCTCCTCCTTCCTCCTCCTCCTCCTCCTCCTCCTCCTCCTCCTCTCTCTCCTCCTCCTCCTCCTCCTCCTCCTCCACCTCCTCCTCCTCCTCTTCTCCTCCCCCTCCTGCTCCTACTCCCCCTCCTGCTCCTACTCCCCCTCCCCCTCCCCCTCCTGCTCCTCCTCCTACCTCCCTCCTCCTCCTCCTCCTCCTCCTCCTCCTCCTCCTCCTCCTCCTCCTCCTCCTCCTCCTCCTCCTCCTCCTCCTCCCCCTCCTGCTCCTGCTCCTACTCCTCCTCCTCCTCCTCCACGGAGGAGCAAGCAATGACGTCAACATAGAAGCTCGGAGGTCGCCGTGGATTGAGCGGCTCGGCTCGGCGTGGGCGGCGCCGGGGGCGCTGCCAGGGCGGGGCTCAAGCGCCGATCCCAGAAATCTGCGCGGACCTCCGAATTGTTGTGCTTATGTCATTGTTTGATGGGCCATTTTTCCACCACCACCACCACCACAGTTAGGAGAGGGAGGAGGAGGAGGAGGAGGAGGAGGAGGAGGAGGAGGACGAGAAGGAGGAGGACCTTCCCAGCCTCCGTCCTCTCCCGTTTTCCCGATGGTAGTGGTTGTGGAAAATTGGTCCATCAATTGTTTGTTCCCCGATGTAAGACGAAGCCAAGACGAGGGTTGAATGGGATGTGGATGCATCGAGAATCTCTGAGATCCGGCGGCGCCGATCCAAGAAATCTGCGCGGACCTCCGAATTGTTGTGCTTATGTCATTGCTTGTTTCCGCCTTAAGACGAAGCCAGGACGACAGCAAAATAGGGTGAGGATGCGCCGAGAATCTCTGAGATCCGGCGGCTCTGGAAGCTGCTTCGGGCGCCGCGGCCTTCTCCGAACGCTCCTGAACCGCTCTGAGAGCGTTTCGGGACGCTCTGGAACGGGTTCATCCTCGCCCTACCAGTGGAGGCCAGTCCACAAGAAACCTTCCGCGAGAAACCCAAGCCTAAGACCCCAGGGCGTCCCTTGATTCATCCTCGCCCTGCAGTGGAGGCCAGTCCACAAAAAAAACCTTCCGCGAGAAGCCCAAGCCTAAGACCCCAGGGCGTCCCTTGATGCGGGGCTCGGGGACGTCGCGCTCTCCATCGCAGAAGCATCGAAATCCCAAGAGGCCCAGGGCGCCCTGGAGGCGAGGAGGCCGCCTCTTGCCATGGGCCTCCACTGCATCCTCGCCCTGGCCCCGTCCGGCGCTTTCTTTTATGTCGGGCCTGTCCCCCTACAGGGGGATTTTCGACGAAATCTAAAAAAATACCCAAAACATGCTCCCCAAAAGGTAAAAAAATACTCCAAAAATAGCCCCCAGATCACTATTGTATTACTGTTTTTGGTGTACTTTTGATTTTTCGTCGAACATCCCCCTGTAGGGGGACAGGCCCGACTTCAGAGTTCTTCTCCAGGGGCCAGCAGGGGCAGCTCGGGCCCGTACATGTTCGCGGACGCCACCAGGTCGCACGGCGAGAGGTCGGCGCGGCCGGCCACGGCGAGCTCCCAGAGCTCGGCCGTGAGGAGCGGCGCCTCCAGGAGGAGAGAGGAGGAGGGGCGGGCACCACCCCCGGCACAGCTCAAAGAGCGGCGAGCGAGTCCAGAACGATCCACGCCCTCGCGGTCCGGACTCCGGGGCGCGCTGCCGCGGAGGCGAGGCCGGCCCGCGAGGCCGAGGATACGGAGGAGCTTGCGCCCAGGGCTATCCGAGCAGAGGTGAAGGTGCGGGTCGAGGAGCAGGTCGGCGAGTGAAAGAGCGAACTCCTGTGTGTTCCTCGGGACTTCCTGAGAAACGCAAACGCAGGAAGCGCTCTAGGACGTTCACCTTCTGCGTCAGAAGCACACGCGGGAGCGGAGAATCTGGCAAGACGTAGAGCCGACGTGCGGTAGTGTGTGCTCTTTTTTGTGTACGCGCCGTACGCTGTAATGGAGTTCCAGCAGCACGCAGAGCAGGAAGTCACGGAGAGCACGGTCATGGAACCTTGGCGTGTAAAAAATTATGTGAGAGCTCGATTCCCGAATAAATTGAAAAGAAATCTCAAACAAAAACGGCTGCCAGACTGGGGCGGTCTTGGACTCCACACCCTCTTTGTCCCAATTATTCATGTGCATGTGTACATACGGCGGACTCGTGTCGGAGCGACTCGCGCGTTGGTTTCCGACACCGCGTGGATCGCTCAAGCTTGTGCGTCCGCGGCATTGCGACAATGCACATCGATCGATGCCAGCCGATTCTAGGCCTGTGGAAGGTTGACGGACCGCGCCGGGGTCGCCGCCGCGTCCACTCGGCACGTACCTGACGTCCGGTAGACGTTGGGAGGTCCAGCGCCGACCCAATAAATCCGTGCACACATCCGAAGATTCATCTTTGTGCAGATTCGTGCTCATCGAAGCCCCCCCTCTCCCCGCTCTGGAGGGGGGAAGGGAAGGGGTCTAGGGCCGATCCGTGCGCACCTCCGAAAGTTTGTGTCTGTGCAGACGTGTCTTCATCGGATCGGATCCCACCCTTTCCCCCCTCCGGTCCCCTCTGGAGGGGGAACGGAGAAAGGTCCAGAGCCGATCCGCGCGCACCTCCAAACCTTTCTGATCTTTGTGCAGATTGTGTCTTCTTCGAGCCTCGTGTGCTGCCCAGCGTCTCTCCAAAGCTCTGTGGATCTCCATCCACGCTGCTGACACTGGAATCTCGCTGCACCCGAGCAGCTGGCAGAACTTGCCCTCGCCGCGAGCCAGCATTTCGCTGATGCTGAGCGCGAGATTGCCAGAGCCCATTACGTTGGCATTATTTTCCTCTCGATCAGAAGGCAGCAAGAGAAGGCGGTGACGAGTGCCCGGCGGGGAAACATCCTTCACCAAAGTGTAGTCATTCAGCATGCACCCACTGTGCTCAGATATGTAACAGAAATTGAACTGCCTGGACTCGTCCAGAACTTCGCGCTGCGTGTCTTGTAGCTTGAGCGCGTCCTCGCGGAACATGCGGCTGAGAAACTGTGTGTGCGACACCGCTGACCCCAGCACGTCGGCGGGTTAGGGGCTACAAGGCTTGCGAGATGCCAGCGGCAAGTTTTGCCTACGGACCTCGAGGCTCGAGAGGAGAGGTTGTCAGGCGCATGCGGAGTGCTGTGGGACAGCGCAAAACCATTTTCAAGCGGGGGCCTCTGGGAGCTGACGAGGACCTCCGCAGACCTCCAGGAGTCAGGACCCGGGACGAGAGCAAAGCTTACCAGATGCCAGGTGGCATCTGCACCCCTCTTCTCTTCCTCCCCTCTTACCCCCCTCTGGACTCACCCTTCTCCTCCCATCTTCATCCTGTTCCTGCTCCTCCTGCTCCTCCTCATCCTCCTCCTTCTCGTCCTCCTCCCTCCGTTCTTCTCCTACACCTACCCCTTCATTATCCGAATTATCCTCCGCGCCTTTCTTCTGAACCGCCTACACCCCCTCCTTGACTCATCCTTTATCTTGCCGAGCTCCCTCCCTCGGTCCTGCCCTCCCCAAAATCCGCTGGCATGCCGTGAGGTGTCTTGGATCATCGACGAAGGAATCCTTCGTGAGGATATCTCGCAAACCAAATTCGAGCCCACTTTGCTGGAAATATTCGATGCTCATCGCTGAAACCCACTTCCAGCGCGAGAAGCACGAGAAGACGTCGAGCTTCTTGCGAAAGGCGACGAGCATGATGACGTGGTCGAAGGCGTGATACAGGCCGCCTGGACAGCTCGGCCGCCCCCAGTCATCGGGACCACTGATGCAGCGCTTGATGCTCCCGTCCAGCTCCCCCGAGAACAGCACGGCGGTGAGGAGGCCACCGAAGCAGACGCGCTCCTCGCTGTCGGCGCTCAGGCTCGCCTCGAACTGCTGGTGGAACTCGAAGTGCGCCGCGCCCAGGGTCTGGTCAAGACCTCTGCGAAGCTCGAGGTACCCAGGCAACTGACTGAGCAGGCCTGACATGAAGTCGACGGCCGCGGCACTCCACGTTTGGCCCAGCCTGAACCCAGCCACGACGTCGGTGACTGCCTCTGGGAAGGAGCTGAGAGGGGGGGAGCGCAAAGCAAGTCGAGGGGGAGCGCAACGACCTGCCTCCAAAGCATCCGTGAGCGATCTATGACAGAACCCCAGTCGCAGAACAGCTGGTTCCCGGGCAGCGAGGGTGAAGAGGCTGAGGTAAAAGAGGTGGAGGAGGGAGGAGTAGGAGGGAGGACAAGGCGGAGGAAGAATAGGGATATGAGAATGTAGTCCCTCACCTCCCCCACCTCCCCTGGAAAACAAGCACAAACAAACATAACTCCGACGTTGGAACCCCACATGATAATCATGTCGGCTAGTCTGGAAGTAATCATCATCGTCGTTCCTGTGATTGTGGGGGCTCTCTTCCTGTCTCCTCTGCGCCATTTTCCTTCTCCCCCTGGCGAAGGCCCTCCTCCCGCCCCCTGCTTTGCCTCCTGCTCGCCCTCCTGCCTTTCCTCCACCTCCGCCACCTCCCCCCATTTCTATTGCAAGGGCGCGCACATAGATGTGTCTTGGCGCCGTCGCCGTTTCGGTCGGCAGGGGCGTTCTCCGATGGCCAGATGGCGAAGCCTGACGACAATTTCAGGGCTCATAGACCCGCTCAGATTTAAAACACATGATCTCCGGACCCATGGGGAGGCGGGCTCCCGCTCGAAACTTCCTCACAATGTGCTCACAAACGAGGCCCCCGCTCGAGACTTCTCCCAGATCCACTCCTCAACAACCCAAAGGTGACAACAGCCACAAGATTTGGATGACCCGCCCAGACTGCTAACATGACTCAGCGGCCCCATAGGGAGGGGGCTCCCGCCTGCGACATCTTCACAATTCATTCACAAGCGAGGCTCCCTTTCGAGATTTCCTCCTGACCCACGCTTCAGGAACCTAATCAGAAGTGACGACAATCAAAAGATTGGGGTGACCCGTCCGGATTGCTAAAATGTTCCAGCGGTACCACAGGGAAGGCAGGGGCCCCATATGGAAAGGGGTTCCCGCCTGAGACTTCCCCCCAATACACTCACAAACGAGGTTCCCGTTCGAAACATCATCCAAATACGCGCCACAGGAACCCAAAAATGACGACAATTACAAAATTTGAACGACCCGCTCGGATTACTAAAATGACCTGCTGGCCCACCAGGGAGGGGGCTCCCGCCTGAGACTTCCTCAGAATGCACGCACAAACGAGGCTAACGGTCGAAACATCCTCCAGATCCACGCCGCAGAAACCCAAAAGTGATGACAATTACAATGTTTGGCCGACCGGCTCCGATTATTTACAATTCAATCACAGACGAGGCTCCTGCCCAAGACTTTCTTAAGATAGTTATGTGAATGTGTGTGAGTGTGTGAGTGTGTGAGTGTGTGAGACGCGACGGAGAGTTTCTGCCGCTTCCGCTCCTGGGGGCCCTCGCTGGGCCCCAGGTAATTTCCGGGCGGGCGGGCGGGCTCGGGGAATCTGCCCCGCGTGGCTCCCCGACAGGGGTCGGCCACACGGGGCCGGCCGGCCCCCCGCCACGCGGGCCCAGACGGGGAGGCGAGCGGCCTCCCCCGGGGACGGGGTCCTCGGCGCGGGCCCACAGAAGCCCCGACCCTTTCTCTCCGGGGCCGGCTCCTCATCCGGAGCCCCGAGTCGGTGTCTGAGGGGTGCGGGGCCCAGCGTGACGTCGGGCCCGTCCCTCTTGCAGGGGATATCCAAGACCAGTCAAAAAATAGTCAGGGGACGATTTTGTGCGCATTTTGTTGACGATGCTTGAGCATTTTAAAATTATGTTTATCGGGGGTGGATAGACCTCCTACCCTGACACGTCGATTAGTGGCGGCGCGCGATGGGGGCACGGAGCTGCGGACGGCCACGGGGGGGTATAGGGAGGCTGGAAGCGCGGACGGGTGGATTCACAGCCGGAGCAGCTGGAGGCCACGCGCTGGGCACACCTGCGGAAGCCCAGCGCGCCTGGCCATGGAGGGGCCCGAGCGCTGGAAAGACTCCTGGCCACGTGTGCACCCAGCTTCCGGTGCATAACAGAGGGAGTGCTCCGAGTGATCGCGCGCGGGGTCTTGGAGGGTGGCACCGTGCGGCCGTGCGCTGGGTCTTGTGATGGGCCCTTGGCGTCGATTGGCTTTCTCTCGTTTGTGTCTTGCCCCCCTCGTCCTCATGATCATGCATATTGTTTTCGTTCTCTCTCTCTCTCACACTATATTTCTTTCTCTCGCTCTCTCTCTCTCTCTCTCTTTCTCTCTCTCCATATGTATCTCTCTCTTCTCTCTCTCTCTCCCTCTCTCTCTCTCTCTCTCTCTTCATGCATCTTACACCAGAGAAACACCAAATCGGTGGATGGTTTGAAAATTGGTAATTTGGATGTTGAGATCGATTGCGAGATCAATAGTGAGATCGGTAGTGTGATCGATAGTGGGGACGATTGTTAGATTGATCGTGAGACCGCGAGTAAAGTCGATCGATATTGAGATCGATCGCGAGATCGCTCGTGCGATCGATA